GATCTTATAATGAAATTACATATTTATTACATAAATCCTTTAATTAAACACTATCATTAAAAATCCCAGGTCTCATTTTAGCTGACCACATCATGAACACACTGTTACCTTTCTTTAGATTCATTTATAATCATAGTTTAATGCTTGATGCATTATATAGATTTGATTATATTATACTCTCCCATCCGTCATTCTTAATAAACTTTACTATAATTATCCTGACCAAGTAACTTATTATAATGTTATTAAGCACTCACCAACTCTTCCAAGGACTCATATAAAATGGTAACACTATTAAAAATCTTCTGTTATATAAATACTGTTAAAAGAACTGGAATAATATTATTTATTAATAAAATTTTTAGACAAATTTGTATAAAATATAAATTAAATAAATAAAAATAATATTTAATTTTAATATAATATTGAAAGTCATAATTCAACAATCACGTGATTTTCTGATAACAATTTAATATCACGTTTTTTGTAATCGACCAATAAAATAACGATATTTTAATCACGTGAAATAATACAAACCAATTTTATTTATTACATAATTTACATTATGATAATTTAGTATTAGCATATTGTCGACCTGAATTATAATGAATATCAACCAATAAAATCACGTTCATGTGCTAAATATTCACGTGATTTGATCGATCATATAAAAAGTGACCAAGTTTAAATAAACGTCTATAACTTATTATCTAGGGCTTTTTTGAAAATTTGATCGATAGTTTAATAGAGAATAAAGTTACTGGTTTGATTTTCTAAATTTCATTTTTGTAAAGTGTTGAAAGATTTTCATTTTATTGTTGAGTTATGATTTCCGACACCATATAACTAAACTTTAATAAGTTAATCCATAAATATTTTGTTAAAATTACATCAACTTATCTGTTTGTAATAATTTTTGAATTTTGAATTTATCAAAACTAAATAAAAGTTTATTTTTAATAATAAAAGCAAAATTATACAATAATAATATTTTAAAAATACAAAAATTATTTCCAGACAAATTTGTCCTACAGATTAAGAGATATACACAGTGAAACTCGATATAGCGAATTTAGTCTATAACGGACTATTTTTCGGAACCAGCTATAAATAACATTATATAAATTTTGTCTGTTATAGCGGATCCGTCGATTTACCGGACAGCATGGCAGGAACGAAGGGGTCCGTTATATCGAGTTTCACTGTGTATTTTATATCTCTAGAATCTTGACGTTATATCAGAAAACATGAAAGAATCGCTAAAAAATCAGATTCTAATAATTCTGAATATAGTTAAGACAAATCAAGTACTGTGAATAAGTAATCCCTGTGAATAAGCAACCCCCCTCTCTTTAGGTTCAAAAGTCTTAGAAAAGTTGAATAAGCAACCCCTTATTATATACTAAAATAAAAAATTATTACATCCAATTCTAATATGTAACTATATACTTCGATAGTGGTCGGAATTACCAAATTAGCAGTGAATAATTTAATCGTTGGGCCAATAGGCATTAAGTATTCAGAAAGTCCCGTGAATAAGCAACCCCCTTAAAAAACTGATCTCAAATTGATGACGTAGAATTTGCTTATTCACGGAACTTTACGGTAACAAAAAAGAAAAATCGGATGTCTTTTTGGTAGCAACCTAGTATTACCTAATTAATAAAACTGCTAACATTTAAAATTCGCATTTAAAGAAATGACTTAATAGGGAATGAATTAACACGTGACGCATTTTTAACCTAAAAAAGAACGAGCAACAAATGTGTCATCATGACCCTACACAATTATTTATGCAGTTAGGCACGTATGGTAAATTTGTACTTTGCTTTTTTTATTGTGGTATTTATTACAAACGTGTACACGCATAAAGTATTCCGTACTTTTCCGATTTTTAATAGTCACCTTTTTTACACCTTCCCGATCATACCGAACATAGAGAATGAAGTATCGGTATGTTCTCTTTTAGAACGAAGAACAGATGTGAACGTTTATTATTATCTTTTCTGATTATATTAGCTGATTTTCCTTCATTTGATTAACTCTTCTCTCTCTCTTTTCCGATTCTTTTATTGTTATTAGAGATCTGTAAGCTCTATGTGTTATGTGTTTGTGCTTTGACGAGAAAACAAGTTCGGCGCAAACAAAAGTTTTTTTCTATAGAGAATAATCCACACATTTACCCACGATATTTTTGTTTTCTTTGACTTTATTGTGTGTGTTTGGTCGGTCGGGTCTCGTCTCGTTGCTGCTGCAATATTATCTAATTAATAACACTGCACAACTTTATTTGAAGGTTATTAATAATACTTCACGAAATAAATTTCAAAAAGTTGTACATTATGAATTTTAGGAAATAATTATTTACTTATTAGCCATTCTAGTCTCCTTGCTGTTGTGTGACTATATAGAATCATTCAAGTATAGAAGTTTCTCTGGATTTAAAAACTCAATATAAGGTGTGCCATTTACCCACGAATTCTTAATCATGGACAAAAAAATGAATGGTACTATCGAAAATTCAGCGACAATACCAACATCGTCTCATAACATTTACTCGATAGAGACGGCGAAACGGGAATTTCTAAACTTTCCGAAACCCACTCTAGACACAGAAGATGATAATTCGCCGTTCTTGAAGCAATGTTGGGACAACTTTAAAAGATTTTTGGGATTCGTTGGTCCTGGATACTGTAATTATTTTCACGAATCAATCAAGTGTATTTTTTATTCGCGTATTTCAATTCATTTCCTATTATATCTTTGCAGTGATCGCCGTCGGTTATTTTGATCCGGGTAATTGGGCTACAGATCTCCAAGGTTAGTTTATCTAATGATCCTTATTTTAAATAGCATAAACTAATTAATTCGTTATCATAGGTGGTTCCCAGTTTGGATATTCACTCCTCTTTGTTGTCCTAATCTCCAATTTCATGGCAATGTTATTACAAAGTTTGGCGATAAAGTTGGGTATTGTAACTGGCATGGGTAAGCATTCAGACATTATATTTTTGCATGGATTAATTCAGGCGTGTAAATAATGATAATATTTATTATGTGATTATAGACCTTGCTCAAGCATGTCGTTATGCTTTCCCTCGATGGGGTAATTACATATTATACGTTTTATGTGAACTCGCTATTATCGCGTGTGACCTTGCTGAAGTCATTGGGAGTGCAATCGCGCTTAATCTTCTCTTTAAGATACCTCTTCCATGGGGTGTGACAATAACGGCATGCGATGTGATGATCGTTCTTTTAATCTATAAAGACAACAGTATGAAGGCAGCACGAATACTAGAAGGACTAGTGATGTTCCTGGTTGCCGCTGTAGGAATTTGTTTCGTTTCTGAGTTGATCTACTCCAAACCTGACTCGACTATGGTATTAAAAGGTTATTTACCGAGTTCGGGAATATTCACAGATAGTGAGCAATTGTACATCGCAATTGGCATTATTGGTGCCACCGTGATGCCGCATAATTTATACCTACACTCGCATCTGGTTAAGGTGCGAAAGTATCGTGATCAGGCGAAATTGACCGAAGAGTGGCATGAGGCACTCGAAGCTGGCAACGTCAAAAGATCATCTTCCAAAAGATTATTGCAGGAATGCGTTCGACGAGTAATGAAACTTTCGATATGTGACTCGACAATCGCTTTAGCCTTTGCCCTTTTTGTTAATTCGTCTATTCTGATAGTTGCTGCTGCCAATTTTTATTATACTTCGAATGACGTGGAAGTCGCTGATCTTTTTGACGCATATGATCTTCTCTGTAAATATCTCGGACAAGTAGCCGGATTTCTTTTTGGATTGGCGTTGCTTATCGCTGGACAAAGTTCGACACTCACTGGTACTATGGCTGGACAAGTAGTAATGGAGGGATTTCTCGGATTAAAATTACGTCCATGGTTAAGAAGACTAGTAACACGTGGTCTGGCAATTATCCCAGCCTTAACTATTGCGATAATCAAAGGTGGTAGTGGCCTTAATTCGATGTTAGTAGCCAGTCAGGTTGCTCTCAGTCTACAATTGCCTTTCGCGGTGATTCCATTAGTATACTTTACTAGCAGTAAGAAAATTATGAAAATAGATTCACAAACTTTTTATCAAAAAAATGATAATGTAACTGAAACAGAAAAATCTTCATCACCCGATAATGAAAAAAACAACCCATCATCACTCGATAATGACAAAAACAACCCATCGTCACTCGATAATGACAACAGTAATCCAATTATTACACCCTCGACAAATATTGAAACGGCATCTTCCATCCTTTCTGAACAATCGCAATTTATTGACTTTTCGAATCCTTTATGGCTTATCATTACTGCTAGTGTAGTCAGTTTTATTATTGTGGGGTTGGACTTGTACTTGGTTTTCAGTACTGTTAGAGATATTATCAGAGGCGATTAGATTTTTTTCTCATATCCATTATATTATTATTATAACTGCTACAGTGTAGTCTTATCCTACATGTTCAAACTATTATTTCTATTATTATTATTATTATTATTATTATTATTATTATTATTATCATTATTATTATCATTATTATTATCATTATTATTATCATTATTATTATCATTATTAATATAATTTCCTTTATCTCTGATTAATCTTAATTTTTATTTTAATTCATTATCTGTTTTAAAAATTTCATTTTTTTGGTGAAATCAAGGGATGATAGAATAAATTTCCCTCTAAAAAAATTTTTTTGTAAATAAAATATGTAATTTACTTTTTTCAGAGAATTTTAAGTCTAATTCATGCTTGCTATGTAATCAGATATTGATTCATTCAGGTGGTTTTAGCATAACATTTCGCACATATTCTTGTATTATAATTCCTAAAAAACATAAATATTAATGCATGGACAGATTGTATTAAAATCTGAGAATAAAGATCAACTTATTCTTACCTATTGCAACTAACGCCGTACCATTCATTTCTTCAAAAATATTTTCTAAATCATTTTTTTTGAAATGATTTGCCGCAAATTTATTAACTGCTTCCAAGAGTTCCTAATATAGATTCATTGGAGAAAAGATGAAAACATTTGGCCAACCACAATAAAACATAAGAAATGTCTTACTGAAGATGGAAAATCTAAAGGCTCCAATTTGTCGCCTTCAACAAGTGTTCTCCGTTCTCTCTTTGGAGTCGATCGCTTATTTACTATCGTTTTACTTTCGTATTCTCGTCGCAGTGCGTCTAATTCGAGAAGCCTGCTAGCTTTGCCTTTTCCCAAGCATATGGTGGCCCTTAATCTACCCAGAATCTTTGGAAATTCTTGGCAATTTCGAAATCCATCCATTTCCTGAAAATCAGTCTCTCGAAAAGGGTGTTCATCTTCCTCGTCACTTTCAGAACTACTAATATCACTAATAGCACTACTGCTTGATTCGTTATCGGCATCTGAAGCATGACTGGCATTTTTATCGCTCCCCTTCAATTTTTCATCGAATTTGAGACCGTTTAGACCTTTTTGATCAGAAAAATTCGAGTATTGATTTTTAAAGAATACGATAATAAATAGAGACCTATTTATTATTTGGTAAAATCCACTCACGTCTATCGATCGATTTACTCAATAAGAAATATCGATCCTTGAAGAGCAGATTTTTATCGATAAAATAGTCGAGCATAGCGACTGGACATTCAAGGGCTTGTGCAGCTTCAGATTTTGTTTGGTATTTATAAAGTATCTTAGAAAACGATTGATTGTAAACGAATACTCCAGTAGGACTATTTGAAAATAGCTCTACTCTATCTATGATATCCCGTTTTTTAAAAGGAGGAATAATTTAATTGTGAAATCGCAAAATGAATGTAAAGTCTACTTTGAACACTGACTTGTATCTATTCCTCTTTGCAAGGTAGGAACAATAGTCGAACCATTACTCAAGTAATATTTGCCTTCGTACAATTTCCCGGAATTTATAAATTTCACTACACTGAATGGATTGTTGGGGTGTACGTCCAGGAATTTTAAGAGTTTTTTTAGGTTGGCACATCGTTTGACTAGTCTTAAAGACGTGTCGTAAATATATATTATATCTTGGTCACTAGCCATTTTTTTTCTTTGAAAGCAGGAAAGTTTATAATTTGAATGGTTACATGACATGTGCATGCCATTTGACATTCAATGTATATCTTGTATATCTCGTATATCTTGTATATCTCTTCTAAAAATAAGCTACCCACCCCCATTTTCCACCTAAAAAAAAGGGGGCAAGAGAATATACAGTATAACCAAGTTGTTTTACTTATTTTTGACTTTTATCTAGTTTTGAATCATGTCAGGCGGCGGCTACAACTATAATCAACAAGGTTATAGACCACCTCCACCACAAGGCGGATATGGTGCACCGCCTCCAAACTTTGGAGCAGCACCTCCTCCACAACAACAACAACAACAGGGATACTATGGACAACAAGGACCACCACCTCAATCTTTTCAATCTCCTCCACCGCAGCATCAACAGGGTTAGTTACTCTGACAGTGAATACTTTTCTATGTATGCGGATCGTTCTGAGTGAAAAGCTGTAACTTTTTTTCACTGATTTAACAGCAGGTCGCCCGCCACATTCTGGTGGGGCGCAACAGCCACCTCCGGGAGCAGACCCACAGCTTTATTACTGGTTCCAGGCTGTTGATACTGACAAGAGTGGGGCTTTAACCACAGAAGAATTACAGCGAGCATTGATAAATGGTATTTTTTGTGAAACTTTAAAAAATGTCGAGTGTTATTGAGAATTATCTTGATTTTTCATTTTTTTGGAAATTGTCTTTTAGGTGATTGGAGTCCGTTCAATATAGAAACTGTACGTTTAATGATGAATATGTTTGATACCGGTAATCTCTGTTTCTGTGATCCAATTCATTTTTTTATTCTACTCATCTTTCTATGTTAATTAATATCCTTAATCTTTTCATTGAAAATAAAAACTATAAGACAATACTGGTACCATCACTTTTAGCGAGTTTGCTGGTCTCTGGCGATACATCGAAGACTGGAAAAAATGTTTCCAAACCTTTGACGCAGACAGCTCAGGCACTATCAACTTTAGCGAACTGAAAACGGCGCTAAGAACATTCGGATATAATCTGAGTGACAACTTTGTTAATCTTTTGATCAAGAAATACGACAAATATGGTGAGTTTCTTTTTTCAAAATTTAGTATTTGGGGGTTCAGATACTGAGTGGCGCTTTTCTGTTCTTGCGTTTATTATTGTTATTATTATTTGTTATATATTATTGTGATATTAACTGATTTAAGGGGGCGAAAAAAATGCAGGAAAGGGAGACGTGACCTTTGATAACTTTGTGGTGAGTATTTTTTTATGGCATGAATTTTTTCTTCGAGTTATTTAGTAATTGCGTCTTTTAAATTTTTTCGTTCTTTCTTTTTTTTTAGCAATCCTGTGTCACTATTAAAACACTCACAGATGCCTTCCGTCGTTATGACACCGATAATGATGGCTGGATTTTGATCAATTATGAACAGGTAAGGTTTCGATTTCGATTTTATTTGAAGTTATTCGAATATATATTAATTTATTGATTTTCAATTCTCGTTTTTTATCTTCATCCTTATATTATTGCTCGTGTGTTTATTATTAATTATAAAGTTTTTGGAATTAGTCGTCACTAATCGATAACTCGGTTATGTTAAAAAGTAAATACAGAAATATATTTTTTATTCTAGTTTCTCTATTGGATTGGATTTTAACCTTGTTTGGTTACACTATCATTATTACTTTTCATCAATGTTATATATATATACATACATATATTTATTAGAAATTGTAAGCGAGTAATTTTGTGGGTTTGAACTATTCAAACTTCAATTTGTTGAGCGTAAGATATTTAATAATTGTACACATTGCATTAAAGCGCGGGTAGTGACGAAAAAACACGTCCCATTATCGTGTGACCTACAAAGATACACCAATTTTGCGTTACACATTGATCTTGCGATTTGATTGGTAATTATTGCCCAATGAAATTCAATTTTGTGATCTCACGTGATGCGTGAATCAATGGCTCACTTGGTCAGTCCCCGGTCATATACTTTGAAGCGATTATTAATTCTGTGGGAATAGGGACATCGCAAATACTTCCATGGCGTTAAATCGAGAGATGTCGTGCTGAGGTTTTTTACTTTACCAATTTTTCTAACCAAACTCTTGACTTTTTTTTCACGACTGCAGATGAAAGCCTCGAGCTCTTTAATACATGAGACTACAAAAGATTTCCGTTGTAAATGAATTCCTCTATCGAGAACAATGGTATATTTATTGTATTGACTATGTAAATTGAAATGCTTCTACCAGCTCAGATTCAACACTGAAAGAGTAAGCATAAGTAACAATGATTTTGCATGAATGTTGAAGCATTATTGGTATATACATTGTATTTTATCTAATTATTGAAAGGTCAAAGTTTATAATGTGAAGAAAATCTAATATGTTGACCTCCTGTTAAAGAGACTACCTTCAAGATTACAGCTTTGATACGGATATGGATAAAGTTGAATTTACTATTTTAATCAACTGACTGATATAATGTTGAAAAGGATATTGGTCAATCTTTATGTCTTTTCAGATGGTCCATTTTCTCCCCTAAGCTTAAAGTAATGCTCGATTGGTGTGAACATCGGACGATACTTATTCTTTACATTCCCGTCTTCTTCACCCGAAATTCCCCCACGAATAAATTCTTGCCACGTGGTCCATTCCCATGTTTCGCATTTATTTGGTTCCATTACCTTAATATGATCGCTTTATTATTAATATCAAGTAGAAAGATCCTTTCGAAAGAAGAGGTTAAGATTATTTTAACTCATGAAATTTACCAAAGCTTCGGCGTTGGGATCTGCAATTTTTGCACACATGAAAATGTTCACGTAATGTTTATTCTCGTTAAGAAAAAAGTCGTTTGTGATGAAGTGGTATTTGATATCTTTGATTCTGAGATTTGTTTCTTCGAACACTTCTCCTGAGAATATCATGAGTGCAGAAATTTTAAAGACTCGGAAGTAATTGGAATGTGATGCATCCATACATACTTTCTGCGCATGTTTCGAATGATTCACCGAATTCTAAATTTCCTGGATTTAGAAAAGATTTAGCGAGTCTCGATTGATTGATTGACTGAGGTTGAACGTATACACAAAATAAATACCTCCGGGAAGTTGCCACGTTCCTTTAATAAAATAAAAATTACATGAAGATATGCACAATGTGAAAAAAAGCTATCGATTTTTTACCCGATCCATGTGATCCTTTTCGTTTCCCAATCAAAAATTTGTCCCCGCGAACAACAAACACGCCCACACCAACAAGTGGATGTTTACAGCCATTAACGTTAGACATTTTGATGATTATTTTTTTTGCACGTTATATCTTTGATCTATTTCTAATAGAAGATTTACTATGATTATCTAAATTTCTTATTTTGGAACAGTATACAAGATGAATTGAAATGCTAAATTTCTGATAGTACATGCATGTATGCAACGAAACACCGGTCATTTTATTATTCAACCAAATAAAATTTACGTATTTTGGAATTTATGAAAATTTATTATTTTTTTATGCAATGCAGATTTTATGCGCAAATTCTCAAATAACTATTTCAGATTATGATGTTTGACTAAGAAAATGCTATTATAAAGATTATCGAATGAAAATGTTCATTGTATGACTGTTGCTTATTAACTATATAGATGCTGAATATTATGGAATATATTGTATTTAAACTGAAACACCGAGACCAAAACACATACCTACCAGAATTTTATTTTCGGTTGAGACCACCAACCTTGAATAAAACCCTCCGAGACTCTTTTTGTGGATCCCGGGGTTTCTCGACAATAGTGATATTTTGGTAGTGTGAGGTGCCGAATGACATGTATACGAATTCGTTATTAGCAGTGATCTCGAGTTCCTTTCTTTTCCAGATGAGATCTTTAGCGAGCTTGTATCTGATATTGGTGGTTACATCAAGATTTTTCGATTCCAGAATGCGTTTGATCCAAGAGAAAGGTAATTTGGCATAGTTATTGAGCAGTTCATGGTAGCCGCTGTTGTGACAATATCCGATACCAGATTTTAATATACAAACATTTTGTCCGACGTGAAGGTGATTGTTGGGATTAGATTTGAAAGATTGCAACAACCTCGGAAGTTTTCTAATGAGAAATACATAGCAGAGATCTTCAATCGGCTTCGTGTATTCTTTGTAATGCTGAAAGAACTTTATATAATAGATAACTGTATTGATAGATATGTCGTTTTTCAAAATTCCGATTGTAAAAGCGCAAATATCGGTCAATCCAAGATGATACGCCGCTGCAAAGACGCTTTTGACATTGATCGGGTTAATCCAGTGGAGGGAGGACGCGTACATGTGGGCGAAACAGATTCCAAGGCCTTCGGAGGTAATATTCGTATCATTCAAATTGAGAGTGATCTCTTTTGAAGTAGAGTTGGTCAGTAAATTGCGTATCGTCGGAGATCGAGCAATGTTAATGGCGTGGAAGCGATAGAATTGATGGAATGCAGGATGGTTAACTTGAAGAGATACATCAGAGTAAAGGCCACCAATAAAGCCGTGATTATACATGTGGATACAAATCAAATCGTTATATTTCGGGACGAAAAAGTGTAAAGGATTGTTGGCAGGAACCATTTGGCTTTTGCCTTGAGGTGGTTGTTGAACTGATTTCGCAGCTAATGGATGAACATTTCTGTTCATCTTTGCATTGACATTGATCGTGAGGTGAGAAGTAGGTCGAGGTTCGTAATGGCTGTTGACAATGGCGACCGGGTGTAGAGCTGGTTGGTGAGGTTGGCGAATGTTTTCAGTCAACGCGCTGTTACTGTTGTTGACTTCGCCGGTATTCGGGATTGCTGTAGGTTCCATAATGTCAGAAGCTGTGGCACTCATGTTTTACGAAATATGGCTCAGAGATAACACAAGATATGGAACTGCAACAAGTCGTTTTTTCTTTAAATTTTTTTTGCGGTCGAATTATGTTTTGGAGAGTGGAGTTGCAACTGGCACCGGCAGGTAGTGTAGAGCGCAGTTAACAATAAAAATGTTTAAAATTGAATCGACTTCCCTATTTTGGAATTTTCGCAATTATGTGTGACATGTGACTACTTTTTGCTCAAAAAATGATGGCCTACACTTTCCAACTATACATTTTGCCACTGGAAATTATCAAATTATTAATTATTAATTATTAATTCTTAATTACTAATTATTTTTTGATAAATAAAGTATGGCGTGGGGAAATAGCATGATCACATGTTATAAATTCATTTTATATATGTTGAGTCTTCATTATTGGTATGATCTTGTACATAAAAACAACAAAAAATAATAGGTTGCCGGGAACTTAATACTAAGGCGAGCTGAACCAAACATCCACATCAGGTAGAATTTAAAGTGCAGAGTCTAGTGATACGGGCTGCCCCGGCCCAATGGCCGGTGATGTTCCAACCAATCAATGATGCACGTTCCTTGTACTGGATTATGATGCGTAAGCGGCTGGAACTCGAAAGGAGGAAAAGTAATAAGGCAGGTTTTTCATGGACGTTATATAGGGCCGGGCCGGGGTGGGCACTATATCAATCAATTCAATAGATTTATGTGAATATTACCATATTTAGTCCAGATCTACCATCTGAATGTACTAAACCCTATCTGCACAGTCGACCCGTCCGCGTCTCATTAGTCTCGGCCTCGGCCCGAGATTTTGTCATCGATCCGTATCACTAGCAGAGTCGAGTGATCTATGCAAACAATGTGATGCTCGACTATTTCAGAAGCATGTTTCAAGGTAACTGGAAACGGACAGCAGAGCAGAAAAGGGTAAAAAAATGCTACGAATCCACAAGATTCATATTGTTGAAATACTCGATTGCGATCCCGCGCCAAAGCCAGCAACTCCATTCGAGTATATATCGTGTTCAATAAAGCATGGGATTTGCTAGATCTTAGAACGCCAATGATCAACTTCATGGTAGAGAATGACATTTATACAGTATTTGATAGTACCTATACCAGAAATGTTTGTTTTTTCACATATTAATCTGAACTTCCGAGCACTACATCTTATTGAATCTTTGGATTATTCGGAAAGCACAACACTAATAATAAAGATGCTAATCTACTTTTTGTACAACATTCGCAAATACCTCGTGACATCCGCATAATAAATTAGTCTAACTAATGGATTCTAACTAAAAAATGCGACTATTGATTTGTAAATAATGATTACAGAAATGAAGATGATGTTATTCTGTTTTCTTTTCTCCTTGACGTTTTTTTTCTGCTTTTTCTTGTTTTTCGCGAAGCTTTGAAGGGATCAAAGCGATTAGACAAATCATCGGCCAAATCAATATCACAAAAAGTGAACAATGACACTCACCTTTTCCGCTTGTCCTTTTACTGCAGCTTCCGCTGCTAGACGTTGATCTTCGGCAACTTGTTTCGCGTGGGCTACTTCGTGTGCTGCTTTTTGAACTCGTTCGTTCTCTAGTTGCTATTTAGTTATTATTATATACATAGGTTAAAAAGTCGATTGTTTTAATAAGTGGTTCATTAGATGATAAAATTGTTTGCGTCAATTATTGGATACTTATATTATCAAAATATAAATACCTTTCGTTTTTCTTCGGCGGCATCGAGTTTTGCTTGAATCACATCAGCAGATCTTTTTATTATTAATGTCCGAAAAAAAAGAAAAAAGATCAATATAATGCACTTGAGACATGATTTAGTCTATTTGTTAGGTTGTTAGTCTCGTTAGTAATTTATAAGTTTATTTGTGTGTACATGCTTTACATGTGTGTACCATCGCGTTTATATGAATTTCTCTCTAAAATATATTAAAAGAAAAAATGTTATATAATTCTCGAAAGAAAAGGATTAAAATTAATAATATTTGTATGGATTAAGTTAATTATAGCACACAAATCGTGAACCAGAAACAAAATTTGGATCCAGGATATTGAAAGACCAGTTTTTTGAACGCGTTCAGTTTCTGCTTGCTATTAATACATGATTAATAATTACCTTCCGTTTAGCTTCCAATTTTTCAACATTACTTTAGTGATAGAAATATCAAAAAGCAAAAAAGGAGCAAGCAAATGCAAGAAAATCACTGCAGAGAGAAAAGCAGGATAACGAAGCAGCATATATTTATCTATATTAAAAAGGGATATTATTTTTTTTGCGAGTCTAATATATCAAATATATATTTTGTATATCCGACTCGAACAATACACACAAACACGATGGCACACATATATATAAACGCGTATACACACACGAGAAATCTAGTATCTAGAACTTGTACAAGAAAAAAAGAGACAACACAGTACAAACACAAACAAAGCAAAGCAAATAAAAAAATAACATACACTTTTGAGTCAGTCTCTGTCGTGGATTTTTTCTTTTCGGTCTCGTGTTTTCCGACCTCATTTTGCTGTCTTCTTTTCTCGGCCTTATCTAATTTGTCTTGCCTATTGAACATATAATAAATATATATGAAGAAAATGTTGAACCATAATTATTTATTATTATCGATTGATACTTGCAATTTCTCTAATGTTTCGGCTGCATGTGCATCAGATATACGACGCTGTTGTTCAGAGACGGCTTTGACGTGAGCAACATCAGCTGCGGCTTTAGAGATTCGCTCAGCTTCATTTTGCTGCAGTATGATTAATTGATTGAGCATACAAACTTATGATTTCTCGTAAAATTAATGAAATTCTTTTTTAATATTACCTTCTTTCTTTCTTCGGCTGCATGAAGTTTTGCTTCTATTTCCTCTTGGGTATGACTGCTCGTTATTATTAATTAAAAAAAATTTAAAACGCTAAATAAACACATCCCAAGTTATATCTAACGGGTTGGCGCTCGTCATACAAGTATTACGCGTCACGTCTCAGTTAAAAAAAAAACAAATACGCAAACGCACGTGTACTGTTCAAAATTGAATCCTGAACAAGCTACCGAAAAGCGATACAAAGACAAGACGCGTCACTACCTTACTAACAAACCAACCTTTTCTCTTCAGTCTCAGCAAACCGTTTAACAATATGCTCTGGCGGCGCGGCATCCGGATTTTGTTTAATGTCAACTTCGAACGCGACTGGAGTTTTTTGTGGTGTGGAAGGTGCACTCATGATTTCTTTAGGTAGTTCGTAGAAAATTGTTTGATAATAGTAAGAAATGAATTTCGCAAGGATACTTAAACCACTTAAATTACGCAGCAGTGAGACAAAAATTTAAGGGGCACTCAATGCAACGTACTGTAGTGTAGTGTCATAATTTACGTCTTGAACAGTGATCATACAATAATGTCAATGCGCACATTGTGTGAGACTAAGCTTTAAAAGTAACTTTATAGTTACATGTAATACAAATAACAAATACATTTATTTAATAGCGATAGTACGTATTCTCCTTTTCGCCGTAACACCCACGTGACATAAGATGTGCACTGCACACGAGGGGGAAATTTTACATATCGATAGTCTTAATTAACCCTGCCTCCAAACCTAACCTTAAAATCAACCTTACAACAATATTTGGGTATTCTATATCTATACACAGGATAACATCCATCCTATGTGAAAAATTTTATTCGTCTTCTTTGTCATCATTATCATCATCACCGTCGTCGTCGTCGTCGTCGTCATCGTCATCGTCATCGTCATGATCATTATTCTCAGACTTTACATTTGTAATTGATTGCGATTCTTGTTGCGAAGCTTGTAGTTTTTGTTGTTGCTATAAAAATTATATAAGATGATTAGAGGCAAAGATTATGTTTTAATAATATTATATTAATATATTACCTTTTGACTCCAAGCATGTGCCATAGCCAAGAACTTGAAATTCGGTTGCTGTGTCTGATCATCCGGAAAGATATAATCAAAGTACTCTTCCCAGGCAACGCCAGCTTGTCCTTCGGTTTCGTCCAACTTTCTTCGTTTCTTGACAACTCTGGGCATTTTGCTTTCGACGACAGATAATGTCTCTTGGGCGCCATGATTTTTTTCGAAGTCTTTCCACGATTCGAGCAGTAATACTCGCTATTCAACAGAAAAAAATTGAATTAATCACGATAATAATAAATAATTTTGGATTTTTATTCGAATACATAAATAATTCTTAAAAAAAAAAAAACTAAGCTACTTACCTCCTCCTTTAATTCTTTTTCTTTCATTGACTTGTACGCGTCCTCAAATACCTTTCTTGCTCTTTTTACAGATTCCTCCCGATCACCTTCTGCATCTTCAGCACCAGTGTTCAGCTCAAACTGAGCAAAACTGATCCAAACTTTATAATGACCTGTTTTGCGTAGGAGGCGTTCATAGAGATTTCGTGTTTTTTCAAATTCTTCCTCGGTGAATTCGAAATCAATATACGCTTTCCATAACGTTTCAGGCACATCAAGAACGGGTTGAGCCACGCCGAGCTCAAATATTGCTCGGCATCGATCATAGTCACCTAGCATGCGTTCTAGCTCTGCAAATTTTATCCAGGCATAACAATTTACGGGATTATACTCTAGATACTTAGTGTATAGTGTTCGACAGCGATCGAATTCTCTGAGCTAAACATAATAGTAATCACAATTATATAGTTGATATCTATTTTTTGAAAAAATATCATTGACTTTGTTCAATGAACTTACTTGTAACTCCAATTCTATATATCCCTTAAAAATTCTATCCTTTGGACACATCCCTAAAGATTATATGTATGTATGGTAAATCAATAAAACAGAGTATACAACGACTACAAATTCGGTAAATTAGCGAGTTATTACCTATCGCTTTGCCAAGGGTCAATCTCGCTGTCTGCAAATCAAGCCTTCGTACCTCAAATTGAGCATACATTAGCCAAATCTTTGCAAACGTAAACTTCTTGTGTGGTATTAAATCTAGGCATGCCAGATATATTTGCTTGGTATTTTCAAAGTCCTAGAGGTATATTATTGTTCATTATCATCTTTCTACCAGAAGAATAATAATCAATAAGTAAAACACCAACCTTCGTAACAAGCTCCTCAAATAAAGCGTAATAAATCCATAAATATATATACCGCCGCCAAAACCGCTTTTCTTGTGTGGGAGGCACCTGAGCTATTGCACGCTCGTAAATCTCACGTACTTTATCAACGTCTCCAGTGTTTTCTTCGAGTCGGGCATAGTCGAACCATATGTCATAGTTTTTTGGATTTATTTTTAATGCCTGATGGAATAGACAGATTATTAAATAAGATAAATAAAAGATAAAACAAGCATTAAAGCTATTTACCTCCTCATATTGTATCCGCCGCTTTCCTACCACCACATCTTCAATCCCTTCTTTATCACCATACTGCTTTTCAAAATGAGTGTATGCGTTATATAAAGCTTCGGATTTTGAGCGCGGTAATCGTTCCAAAGCATATTTATATATAACACGAGCCCTTTCATACTAAAAAATTTTAATACTAGTCAAGATAAAGTTCAAGAAACGTAAAAAAATATAATCACCCTAAAGATTTGTGTTCACCTCTTTTAATCTTGCCTCAAATTTAGCAAAAGCAACAAAAATCTTTTGATCCATGTGATCTTCACCCAACATTTCTATTGCCTGATTGAAAATTTCACGGCATTTATCTAAAATAAATATTTTTTTAAATTTAATGTCTTAAAACGCGAACAAGAGAAAAGATAGACTTACCCAAATTATTTTGCTCCTCTTCAAACTTTATCCATTTTAGCCAATTCTTTGACAGAGGATGCACATTGACAAATCGCTCGTATATGGCTCTTGCTCTATCTATTTCATGATATCTTTTTTCCATTTTGATGTAGGCGTTCCACGCGTTCTCATCTGGTTCCCATTGCATCCAACGCTCAAATATTTGACGCGCTCCTGCAACATTTCCTAACATTTCTTCCATATAAGTATACTTATACCTAGAATGAAGTGAAAATTTCTAATTATCATGTTTTCCGCGTGTAAAAAGAACAGACAACTCAATTCATTAATTAATCAATTACCAAAATTGATCTACTCTAGGAAGAAGTGTAACAGCTCGATCAAATAAATTCCGTGCATGATGAATATTTCTATTCTTCATTTCCATTTCAGAATACTTTATATATAGCGTGACATTTCGCGAGTCTACATCCAAGGCGCGTTCATAGATTGAACGAGCTCTATACGTATACGATGTTAAAAAAACCAAACTTTTGATATTATGCATTTTCTAGATAAAACAGTTCTTCGTGAGAGCAAACTGGAGCATACCTATCTAATTCCTTTTGACTCTCTTCCCAAGCTGCATATTTTAACCAGCTACCGACATTTAACCTATTTCTACGAATTGTATCCTCAAATTCCTTGCGTTTCCTTAAACGATACTCGGAAAGTTCCTCTAAATCGGATATTTTTTGTCGTGGTGCTTGTTTTGCAGTTTCTTGTCGCTCCTTTGCTTCTCGTAGAATTTGTTCAGCTGTGATTTGAATCGGAGCTGGATTTTTGTTTTTAATCTATTGAAACATAAGTCGGTTGGCCTCATACAAAGAAATTAAGTTTTATACTCTGAAAAAGTCAAAGGAAAAGGTTACCTTTGGCGGGCCTCGCTGTTGCTTATACAGATTTGGTACTTGTGAGGGATCCATCGTGTATAAACTTATATTTAGAAAATAAATTTGTCTAATTAGCAAATCTGCAAAATTTCATTAAAGTTGTTATATGCAATGCCAATTAGAATTTGCATAAAAAAATAATAATGTATTTTTGCATGATGAAATTCAGCCAATTAAAAATAGTTATCAATATAATCATGTGACTTATAACATGTCAAATTTACAAAAAGTGATCAACTAATGATTATTACTATACATATTTCTGTATTCCCATATTTGATAATTTTGATATTAATATAATATTTTATTAATACAATTATTCAATTAATTACTAATAATTTGTTTGATCAATTATTGTGAGAAAAAGATAAAATTAATTTTATTATATGTATAATTATTATTATAAGAAAAATTAAGAAATAAAAATTAATAATCTATTTTATTAATGGATTATATTTAGATTTTTATATTATTGAAAAATACATAAAAAATTATAAAATTAAGTATTTTTTATATACAAAAATCTATTAAATACTTTAATATTATTAAATTTAATTTTATTTAATATTATTATCATTTTTATAAGTTCTTGAAAAAGCTGAAGAGTACTTAATAAGTTACTTGATTAGAATAATTATAGTAAGATTTATTAAGAATTATGAATGAGAGAGTATAATATAATATATCAAGCATTAAATTATAATTATAATGAATTTAAAGAAATATAACAGTATATTTATAATATGATCAACTAAAATAAGATCTGAAATTTTTAATAAGAATGTTTAATTAAAGAATTTTATGTAATAAATATATAATTTCATTATAAGATCATAATTTAATAATAATAAAATATAATTTTATTATTAAGCAATTTATTATTAATTTATTACATATTTTTAATTGTTATTTATTATTTTTAAAATTCTGAGAATTATAAAATCTTAGAACTATAAAATCTTAGAACTATAAAATTTATCTAAATTACTAGCTAAAATATATTATTTTTATAATATTTGATAATTTTATAAATGTTATTTTTATTATGATACTATTACTACTTTTACTATGATCTAATTATTTATTTTGCTAGTATTATATTGCTAATTTAGCTATGAACATATTGCTAGTTTAGCTATAATTATATTACTTATTTAATTATCTAAAGACATCTATAAATAATATTTTATATATAGTGACAATCATAAATAATGCAATAATGTCAAAATTTATTAATTAAATATAATAAAATGTGAATTTTTCTCTTTATATTGTCACTGTTTTACTTGGATTTCAAATATATTATATCTTCTTACGTGCTCAACACATTGTCACGATCAGGCTTCTGGTAGGTATTGTCGTAACGTTGTTACGATCTGGAATTATCCTTAATTCTGATCATGTGACTCAACATAGATTGTAGAGATAGCAGAGTTCTCAGACATATCAACATTATCCACTATATCATATTTATCTGACATGTATAACATATCCCACA